TTGGACGCGTAATTACCTGCACAAAGCGTTAGAAAATACTGTGATATTTTATTATTAAAAATGCTGCTGAAAAGTTTATACATATGTGTCCAGCCATATATATCTTCTATCCTTATTACTTAAGGCAAAAAAACAAAGACGAAAAAATTGCAGAAATCATAACCCAGGATCCCGTGAAACCCTGCGTGCCTGAAAAAGTCGAGAATAAAATCCTAGGAAAGTAGTGGGGTGTGTGTGTGTGTGTGTGTTGGTTTTTGTTGTTTTTTTTATAACGCGTTTTTTTTCCTCATTTCTTTTTCTCTTTTTTTTCCCCCCAGTTTTTTTTTTTAATATATATAGATAGCAAGGATAGTTTATTCTCATAGAACTCTATGAAGATTCTATAACGTCGTCCCGTGTAGAAATACGGTATCGTTTATGGTGTATTAAATTTTTTTTTGTTTTTTTTTTAACCGTCATCTTCTGAAAAAGCTAAAGGAATGATTGATGATGTCATTGAACAAGAACTCTGAATTTTTTTTTGATTTTTTTTTTCTTTTTCCCCCTCCCTTTACCCAAAAGTCACAGGCCTGATACATGACGATGGGTATTGCTAGCTGAAGACGGCTGGGAATACGGAACACATATGGGAATTCATTCCACCACCTTTCTCTTCCTTTGGGGTTTGATGTTGGGGACAAACACCATCTCCTCCCGGAGACACCGCAAGTTGTCGGAAGGAAGTGGCCTTACCCCGCGTTCCAATTTGGGCTGATAATATTCTACACCGTGTACACACACACACACACACAGAGAAAAACGCTCAAATTTCCCCCAAGACAGACCACCGAATCGATCGTGTCCCTTGCATGCATGGCTCTGGCCGACATTGTTTCAAACAGTCGGGTTGCGGGCTCGATCCCCAGTGGGGGGCGTGCAGGAGGCAGCCGATCCATGATTCTCTCTCATCATCATGGATGTTTCTGTTCTCTCGGTCCCTCTCCCTTCTTCTCTGAAATCACTCTATGATAATAAAAGCACAATAGGCTAATTAGACCAGACGTCCTTCCGGACACCCTTCCGGACAACCTCCCGGACGAAGCTGGCTGGCGCTGTGAGGGAAGCCCGGGTCCCAGGTGCCGGCAGCCAGGGGAAGGAAGGCCTACTCTTGCATGAACTTCGTGAATTGGGCCTCTAGTCCATAATAAAAGTACAATATGCTAATTAGACCGGACATCCTTCCGGACGACCTTCCGGACAAAGCCAGGGCTGTGAGGGAAGTCCGGGTCCCAGGTGCCAGAGGGAAGCTGGTGCCGGCAGCCGGGGGAAGGAAGGCCTACTCTTGCACGAATTTCGTGCATCAGGCCTCTAGAAAAAAATATATTTATTAAAAAAAACACACTGATTTAAATAATGACAGTTTTTAGTTCAGGGATTTTGTATTCGAAGGAAGTGGGGCTACATTTGGGGACACGGCTCACCTTCCCAACGAAATCTAGGACTGGGTTTCTGACGTAAAGACAGCAGAGCTCAGCCCTGGCCAGTGTAGCTCAGTGGATAGAGCATCGACCTGCGGACTGATGGGTCCAGGGTTCGAATCCCAGTCAAGGGCACAGGCCCGGGTTGCGGGCTCCATCCCCAGGGTGGGGCGTGCAGGAGGCGGCTGATCCCTGATTCTCTCTCCTCATGGATGTTTCTCTCTCTCCCTCTCCGTTCATCTCTGAAATCAATAAAAATATATTAAAAAAAATAAAAAGACAGTAAGCTCACAGATTCCATCTGCAAAATATCTTTGGCTACTACTTCCTGGCGTGGCGGTCATGTCTGTGAGGCAAAACATAACTATATAGGGTCACTGTTTTATTTTTTTTTTAATTTTTTTTCTCCTTCCACTATACTTCACTCCAAATATTCTTTACGAAAAATGAAAAGGGTGATGAGAGAATGAGACAGGGTCAGAGGAACGCTGGTCCCCAATTGTATTTTATTATTATTTTTAAAAATATATTTTTATTGGTTCCAGAGAGGAAAAGAGAGGGAGAGAGAGAAATATCCATGAGGAGAGAGAATCATGGACCGGCCGCCTCCTGCACACCCCCTACTGGGGATGGAGCCCACAACCCGGGCATGTGCCCTTGACCAGGAATCGAACCCGGGACCTCCTGGTTCATAGGTTGATGCTCAACCACTGAGCCTCGCTGCTTGGGCCCAGGTGGCCGATCGATTTTAAATGGGGGGGTCCCCTCGGCATGCCTGGGGAGCTACCCCAACTTCCCGGAATACCCATGCAAATCACTTTCTCTCTCTCTCTCTCTCTCTCTCTCTCTCTCTCTGTTTCTTCTCCTTTCTGTCATTGTCATTCACCGGCGACCGAACCCACAAATGCACAAAAAGTAATCTTTTCCGACAAGCATCCCAGGCATCGAAAAACGGTGGGGACGAACCCACAGGGGCCCTCTCGGCTTCGACACTAAACAAAGACACATGCCCTCGTCCGATCTGATTAGCAAAGCCGGGAGCAGCCCGCGCCTCAGCCAACGCCTCCTGCAGCTGCCGGGCGAACAAAAGGTCGATTTTTACGGATTCGCTCGGCGGGGCCCCGCTCACGCAAAGGGGAGCTTTCTTCCCTGCCTGGCCGGATTCCCCGGGGGACGGGGGGACGGGGACGGGGACAGGGGGGAGGGGGAGGAACAACCCATCCCCAACACAGTCAGAGGCTCAGAACTGATATCTGCTTTTTTTTTGCAATTTTTTTTTGCAGGGGAACTGTGGACGCCGTGTGTGTGTGTGTGTGTGTGTGTGTGTGTAACACGACAAGATATCCATAGACTCCACGTGAGGGATCCGTCTGCAGGCCGCTACTTCATAAAGGCTTTTAACACACACACACACGCATGACATTCTGTTCATGGACTCGATGTGAGGGATCCGTCTGCAGGCCGCTACTTCATAAAGGCTTTAACACACACACACACACACACATACATGACAATCTTTCTATAGACTCCACGTGAGGGATCCGTCTGCGGCTGCTGCTTCATAAAGGCTTTAACACACACACACACACACACACACACACACACACACACACACACGACAATCTGTCCATAGACTCCACATGAGGGATCTGTCTGCAGGCCGCTACTTCATAAAGAATTTAACACACACACACACACACACACACACGACAATCTGTCCATAGACTCGATCTGAGAGATCCGTCTGCAGGCCGCTACTTCATAAAGAATTTAACACACACACACACACACACACACACACACACACATGACAATCTATAGACTCCACGTGAGGGATCCGTCTGCAGGCCGCTACTTCATAAAGACTTTAACACACACACACACACACACACACACACACACACAACAATCTGTCCATAGACTCCACGTGAGGGATCCGTCTGCAGGCCGCTACTTCATAAAGACTTTCACACACACACACACACACACACACACACACACACACACACGACAATCTGTCCATAGACTCCATGTGAGGGATCCGTCTGCAGGCTGCTACTTCATAAAGGTTTTAACACACACACACACAAAAACACACACACATGACAATCTATAGACTCCACGTGAGGGATCCGTCTGCAGGCCGCTACTTCATAAAGGCTTTAACACACACATACACACACACGCACACACACACACACACATACACGACAATCTATAGACTCCACGTGAGGGATCCGTCTGCAGGCCGCTACTTCATAAAGACTTTAACACACACATACACACACACGCACACACACACACACACATACACGACAATCTATAGACTCCACGTGAGGGATCCGTCTGCAGGCCGCTACTTCATAAAGGCTTTAACACACACACATACACACACACACACACACACGCACACACACGCACACACAGAAAAGAAACGTTCCCTAAAGCAACAACAGTCTGGGCAGGATGCTACACATGCACTTTTGTACAACCTGGACCACACGGGCGGTCCGGGGGGATTGGGGGGAAAACCGCTGGGCGACCGCCCCTACCCCCCGGCGACACAGAAAACGCATTACAAAAACCCTCACGTCTTCATGGTCAACGAGGAATTCCCAACAGGGGCCTCCTCCCAGGTCCCCGAGGGAACAGAGGGGCTATGACTAATGCATATATTTATATAGATTTATATTTATATACACAGAGACCAGCACGGAGGGGAAAGGACCACCTCCCTAAGAGCTCTTTCCAACGAAAAACACCGATAAAAGCTTTGTGTGTGTGTGTGTGTGTTTTCTGTGTGTGTGTGTGTGTGCGTGTGGAAGCTCACAGCTATATACAAGTCCTCCTTAATTTTACAAAGTTTCTTAAATAGAGTCCGAAACGTCTCTCTTTTGCCCAGAAACGGATGTGCCTGGCTGCACATAGTCAGTTCTTTTTTGATTCTAAGAATAAAACTCGACGTTGCTTTCCCGCCAGAGGGACATCGCCACGGGATGGGTAGCAGCCCACCGACTCTTTCTTCCCTTACCTACAGCCATCTGTCGTATGGCACGTAAAGAACTTTTATCGTTATTATTAATTATTATTATCTTTTTGAAATGATCATTTTTTAAAAAAAAAAAAACAAACACATGATCTGTCCTGGGCTAAGTTCCAGAAGCGTCCGGTGGGATGGTTAGTTCGGAAACCTCTAGGGATCGGGAACGGGCGGACGTCCGTCTGTCCCCACGCAAGGCGGGCTGCGGTCGGTGGGAACCACGGAGGGGTATGAACGCGCCATGGCCTCGAAGGCCATGCCTGGTTTTCACATTTCATAGGGTCGGAAGTTGATCTCGTCGTACGGGGAGTCACGGTCCGGGCACGGGCCCACGGGCGCCCAGCCAAGGACGGCCCTTCTGCATGTGTGTGCGCATGTGTGTGTCTAGTTTTACCTTCTCGTTTTGTTATTTTTTTGTCCTATGTGCGTGAGATGGAGAACATTCCTGGGGCGGCGATGGTGCGTCTTGAGTCTCTCGCGCTCTCCGGGGGCGCGGCGGGGGCCGGGGGAGGACGGGGACGCGGGCGGCCAGGCTATACCCTGGTGGTGGAGTGCCCGTGGGGTAGGTTGCTACTGTTCTGGCCGCCGCTGAAGGTGTTGAAGGTGTGCAGGGGTTGCATGCCCGTCAGCGTGTTGGGGATCATGGTGATGGTATTGGGTGTCATGAGTGGGATGTCATCGGGCGAGCGGCGCAGGGTGAGGGTGTAGTCGGGCGGGCAGGTGAGCCGCAGGGTGTCGTGGGCCTGCAGGGACTCGCACTCGTGTTCGTGCTCCAGCTGCTTCATCTGCAGGGACATGATCTCCTCGTTGCGGATGTGGGCGATGTCATTGGTGGCGTTGCGCTGGGGGCTGGGGCGCCGGTGCGTCTCGTGGCGCCGCTTGTCCTTCTTGTAGTAGAGGGCGGCGAAGGCCAGGATGTTGAGGAAGAGCAGGGAGGCGCCCACGGCGATGGTGACGCTGAGCTCCGTGGAATAGTCGCGCTTGGTCTCGATGAGGACGGTGGTGTCCTCCGGGCCCGTCTTCTGGGGGTCCTTGGCGTGCTTGGGGCCGTTGGCGGGCGTGATGGCCGGGCGCTTGGTGGTGGGCCAGATCTTGGCCGGGGACCGCCGGGTGCCGTAGGGGAAGGAGGTCATGTCGGGCGGGGGCACCTTGGTGGTGGTGGACACGTACTGGAAGATCTCGTTGAGGTTGTGGAGGTGCGGCACCAGCTCGAGCCAGAAGGCCACCTTGGTGGCGCGGTAGTGGTCCCGCACCCGGGGCTTCAGGCCGATGTGCAGGTACAGCTGGTCCTTGGGGTTGTACTTGGACCAGGCCACCTCCTCGAAGCGGTTGGGTTTGGTGTGGATGAACTTGGTGTCCTGAGGCACCGGCTGGTTGGGGTCCCTGGGGAGAGGGGGAACGGGGAGAGAGAGAGAGAGAGAGAGAAAGGAGGTCATGTGCTTCCACACAGCGCAACTACATCTTCATATATATAAATATTTATATATATATATTTATATCTATCTATCATCTATATCTATCTATTTATCTATCTATCTATCTATCTATCTATCTATCTATCTATCTACTTATCTATCTATATATCTATCTATCTCTCTATCTATCTATCTATTTATCTATCTATCTATTTATCTATGTACCTATGTATCTATCTATCTATTTATCTATCTATCTATCTATCTACCTACCTATCTATTTATCTACCTATATATCTACCTATCTATCTATCTATCTATCTATCTATCATCTATCTATCTATCATCTATCTCTCTCTCTCTCTCTCTCTCTCTCTCTCTATCTATCTATATGTCCTATTATATCCTATACTAGTGGCCTGGTGCACGAAATCTGTGCACATTAAAAGTTAAATTAACTAAAGGAAATATTTTAATATTGCTATTTGCCCTTTGCCGGGGGGGGGGATGCAAGCCTCAATTCCCCGCCCACCGAAGCTCTAAGTACCCGCCCACCCGCTCCTGCTGCACACGCAGCCTGCTGATTGGTTGTTATGTGACGGCATCTCAACCAATTTGCCTATCACTCGGTTATGAGACGTATAATAAAAGCCTAATATGCTAAGTATCCGGGCAACCAGTCGTCCGTTCAACCGATCAAAGAGTGATATACTAATGATATGCTAAGGCCGCTCAACCGCTCGCTATGACATGCACTGACCACCAGGGGGCAGATGGTCGACCAGTTGCTATGACGTGCACTGACCACAAGGGGAGGAGCTCTGACCAGTAGGTGAGCTTGCTGCTGGGGTCCGGCTGATCAGGACTGAGTGAGACAGGCCGGACACGCCCTGGAGCCCTCCCGCAGCCCCTCCTCCCAGCTGGCCCCGTCTCATGGGCCGCCATTGAGTGGGAGGAGCCAGCCAGACCCCACATGTGCCCACGACCGGAATCGAACCCGGGACCCTTCAGTCCATAGGCCGATGCTCACCCACTGAGACACACCAGCTAGGGCCCTCTCTATGTTTCTATATCTCCCTTGCCCTCTCTGTGTCTCTCTCTTAATATATCTCCCTCTTCCTCTGTCTCTGTGCATCTCTCTCTCTCTCTCTCTCTCTCCTCTCCTCTCCGCCATGCACATCATATGAGCCATGGGGCATATCAGGATGCCCTTGGCAAAGTGCAAACATTGAACCTTCTACCAGATATTCACAGCAATGCATGTTGGGAGTCATGCCAACTTTGTGGTCCTACGTGCACCGTGAGATATATATTTATTGATTCTAGAGAGAGGAAGGGAGAGAGAGAGAGAGAGAGAGAGCTAGAAACATCCATGATCAGAGAGAATCATGGACAGGCTGCCTCCTGCACGCCCCCCACTGGGGATGGAGCCCGCAACCCGGGCCTGTGCCTTTGACCGGGAATCGAACCCTGACCTCCTGGTTCCTAGGTCGACGCTCACCACTGAGCCACACCAGCCAGGGCCATATTGCAAATCACCAACTAGCTAGCTATGACCTCTGAACCCCTTGTCACACGCTCACCAACACCCCAGTCGCTAGACTGTGCCCATCCCGCTCTCAATCCCCCCCTTTTTCCCGTCCATCCGGCTGCTGCCGGGGAAATCGCGTTCCGCATGTACTTGGATCTCGAGTGGCATTTTGCTTTGCGCATTCAGTGAAGTTCCGAGTGGCCTCCTTGGCGTGCCAAGAAGCTTTCCAAATTAATTAAAGGAAAAAGGAAAAAAACAACAACGCATTGCATGAGCGTGTCTGAGTGTCATTTCAGCTCCGCACCCCGTGAGCGGCAGATGCAGAATTAGCTCCTAATTGGATGAAGTCCCGGCCGTTCTGAAGGAATCTGAGGCCCTCCACCATCTCTGTCTTGTTACCTCGGTGAGATTTATTTATCTTTTTCTTTCATATTTTTATTGATCTCACAGAGGAAAGGAAGAGGGAGATAGAAACATCCGTGAGGAGAGAGAATCATGGATCGGCCGCCTCCTGCACGCCCCCTACTGGGGATGGAGCCCACAACCCGGGCCTGTGCCCTTGACCAGGAATCGAACCCGGGACCTTTCAGTCCGCAGGCTGATGTCCAATCCACTGAGCCAAACCGGGGTAGGAGCAATGGTTTTAATTTAAATATTTATAGGGTGTCCCAAAATTCACGCAAGAAGTAATTTTGATAGAAAACACAGGTTTATAATTAAAAACTGTAAATTTTTTATTGATTCATAAAGGACACAGTCTAGGGTTCTGTATGGAACAGCACATCGGGTCCATGGCCTCCCCGGCTTTGCTGGCACAGACAGCAAAGCTGCGGTCTCCATGGGTCTT